CCCGTGGGATCAAAATAAAACTTAATACTCTAATTATGTTGTCTGTAGTTTGTGTCAATACGAAGGCTTGTTCACCTATCCAAAACGCCCGTCAGTTTGCTTATTTTCCATTACTTCAAATTAATTGTTTTTGATATTTTCAAATTATTTTAATATATTAATTTTAAAAATAATTTTTTAAAAATAAAAAATATTATTTTAATTTATTTTCAAGTAAAAAAATACTTTAAAAAATAATAATTATCTTCTACTACTCTCAAACATCTCATTAGGTCCCTGTTCCATTGCCACATGGCAGGCACTATTGCTTGCTTGTTGCCAATGTGTATATATATATATATATAGGGCTGGCTTGTGTTGATTGATAACATGAAACTAAGTTCTAATTCTACTTTTATTTATTTATTTAATTTGCTTTTCACAGAAGGAAACCGCGTGCATGTGTTTATTAATTAATGATGAAAACAGTTCTATGGTTTATAAAAGATAATTTTAAAAGGATATATAATTTAATTGTTAAGAAAATATATTTCTTTTTTTAACCTTTTAAATTCAGACCTTGAAAACCACGTGGAGAATAATATACTCTTAATATTGCTCACGGAATGGATTTAATGTGAATTAGCATACAAACTAATATAAAAACACTTTATAGAAGAGAGATTCTTAACCCACAATCTAAGGAAAAAATTCGAATATAATTCGGGCTAATTAATAATGCCAAGTCAAAAATGAAAACGTGTTTTAGGGAGGGGTTTTTTTACAGATAAAAACTTAATGGGCCTTCTCAAACGGGTCCAAGCCAGCTTTGAATGAATCCATAATCATATTAGGGGCCCATTTCGCGATCCATTAATTCATCTATTAGAATTTGGAAGAGATTGCTAAAATAGGAAAGAGAAAATGGAGATGCGGGGTATCGATCCCCGTACCTCTCGCATGCTAAGCGAGCGCTCTACCATCTGAGCTACATCCCCTTGACATGTACCAGTTAAGTTTATTTTATATAATAATAAACATATCTTAGATTATCACATGTTTAAGGACTAATCATTGTCACATACTTGGGTAATGAAAGGAGTGTGAAAGGCAAGATCGTGAGCATACAGTTGGCTCACGGAAGCGTCTTCTTCAGATGGCAAATGGCTTCCCTGATTTAGATTCGAAAGCTATGACTCTATGTTGCTTTCGTTTTGCCTTAAGACTACTTGTGCCCTACAATGGAGATAGACATAAACATTTGGACACTTCAATTACATGGAAAGATGAAAGAAAATTTGGGAAAAAAGGCAAGTCAGACATGTATCAGTGTGTCGGATATAGGATCCCGAGTCCAAGCAACATTGCTATGTATATTATCCCTTCCCTGCTTATGTTTGGTTGCTTTACGCTCTTGGCTATCAGTTTGCATGAAAAACCTATGTTTTCTTTAAGCAAAGCTTGGCCTCTGATTTCAGAGACAATCATTGGATTATGCTGGGATCTTTCCTCAATATTCTTCATCAGCACTCTTGATGACAGTTGCAGGAAATTTCAGAAAATAAAGGAGCTTGATTTGGCTTATGTTCGTTTCAGCACAAGCATATATGTTACTGCTGAATCCAGGTGCTGATTTATTTTTATTTGTTGATGTTCAGTTTTCATAGTCTGCCCTTCCAGTAATTACTCAAATGCATGACAATCTTTTTGAGACGCTGTTAATTAGTCTTAGTGTTAGCACCTTTCAGGTGAACAGGAGGTAAAGATTTGTCAGGCTTAGGCTTTTGCCTATTGCCCAGTCTTAATGAACCTCTCCCCTTTCTCTTGATTTTTGGCCTGTTTTCTTTTTCTCTGTATGCTAGTAGTGAACTCTGCAGCTGGAAAGAAGATGAACTCTTTTTTGGTTATAATCCACTTCATGCCATCATGATCAGTCTCTTAATTCGTTGCTCGTTAGATCAGATGCTTGTAAGGTGAAAGCTGTCCAAAACCCACCATGTGAAAGGAACCTTTGTTTCCTTGACAAGGGTTACTCAATAGTGCTTGCTCATGTTTCAAACATGATCCTTTGATTGGCATACCTCTACTCTCTTATAGCTAAAGGCTCGGCATAAATTATATTCCTACAGGGTTCTTGTCATTTACTCTAATGATGTAAGAGATTTCATTATGCTAGGAATTAGGAGTAACATTACCTTGTAAAGTTTAATTTCTTACATTCGCGACTCACTTAAAACTTACAGATGATCAGAAATTTTGGCCAGGATGCCTTTTCCTGGAGCTGGAGGAGTATCAGAATCCAGAGAGCTCTTGGGAATTCTTACTTCTAGAAACAAGTCATTCCTCACATACGCCTCGGTATCTTTCCAATCAGCATCTCCTGGAAGCTCAAGCCTTCTAACATAACCATATTCCCACCAGTTGCCACTTCTCCAGTCTTTCGTTTTCGACTGATCTCTTTTCGGTTTCCACTGACCACTAATTTCCATGATTTTCCCATGTTCGACGAAGAATTGCACGGTATTATTCTCCAGTCCTGCCGTAACAGATCAGAACATTTGAGAAAACTCAAAATCATTCCTTAAAGCGAAAATTTTCTTCAGTTTAAACCTATGGAGTTTTGGCCTTGTCTTCAAGTCTTCTGGTATAATCATATTTAAGCCTGAGACTCCTTAGGTTTTATTGTTTCCTTGGTTCATAATCATCATTTCAAGCAAAGTTCAGAAATTTTAAAGATGTTCGTGAATTGCTAAGAACACTTACCTGATAAATCAGCTTTTAGTACATAGGCATCATCTGTCTGAAACCAATCAATATTAGTCTTGCCAGAGCTCCGAAGATTAGATAACAAGACATCTGACTCAAACTCCCAAAGTGGAAAGGCATCTGAAGGATCGAAATATTTTCCAAACAACAATGGACTGAACAGTGATCCGTCACCAAAACTCCTATGCACTACTGGACTTCCCAGGGCAAAAAATCTTTTGAACATGTCCTCACTTAATGAAACACTCCATTTTTGAGGAGTTTGATCCTCTGTATGAACTTCTAGCTGTTTCCAATTTGCCATTACCAACTAGAGCTGAGAATTTTAAGAATTTTTCTTGGAGACAGTTTATACTTCATAGGCTTTTGGACTTCTTATAGTGTGAGAGCTGCCTTTTGAGAAAGCAAAGAACAAATTCCTTGAGAAGATTAGGAGGGCTGTAAAGCAAGAAAGAATATATTCCTTTCTCACCTTGTTCAACAGTAAGAAGTAATGGAAGAGCCATGCACTGAAGACATGTGGCTACCCACTGAAATAAGCATGCCAATAGATTATTTTGAAAGAACGGATCAGAGCTCATTTCGCCTTTAGAAGAGAATCTTCAGAAGTTTTCCAGGAACTATATATACCTTGCTGTCCACACAATCACAATGGCAGAACACTTCATCAGTTCTTTGTCTCTAACTTGTCACAATCTTGATGTGTTTAAGCGAATGAAAGCACTTGGATTTGAAACTCAGACAATTTCTAGAGTACTCCAGGTAAACACCTTTTTGGGTCAAACTGTCATGCTGCTCAATAATTTTGTATATTTTAAGCTAAGGAGAAGAAGGATAGTAGCTGCGATTACTTGTAGAAAAAGGAAAGTAACGCATAGATTAATTTTTTCCTTGGTCTACTAAGTTCATGATGCTTCAAGTCCAAGGCAAGGTGAAATAAATGCAGTCCATTAGTAGGATCCGGATTCCTGATCACTGGTGAACTATTCCTAACCTTGATTTTGCAGTACCAACCATTTTGGTACTGTTTTTCACAGACAGGGAAGAGCAAGATATTGGTCTGCATGCTGTTTATGTTTTCAGATGAGGCAAAAGAACAAAAGTATATAGCTTTATCATGATTTATATGTTAATCACAACATGATTTGTATGTAAAATACTGTTTTAATTGCATTAATATAGAATTTACGCGGAAATCCTGCTATAATCATATGCAAAATTTGCTTGATCCCGCCAGCTTAAAGTTTGCTTTTTGATGCAATTGCTAACTTGGGGATGAAAAATGCTGATGTCAAAAGGAATATTTCCTTTGTAATGTCACGCTGCACATTCTTCCTTTCATGCTTACAATTTTCATATCTCTAATCTTTCTTGTTTCAGCACCCATAATTCTATTGACTGCTGTATTTGAGGCTTTATGCATTGCGATGCATCTTCAATGACATCCATGGGAGTTACTTTTCTAAAAGCAGCATTAGTATCTGCTCTATGGATCTTGAATTTCTAGTCATGAGTAATGGGGCACAGGCAAAAGAGCTCGAACACAAATTACAGATGCAGTTATCTCTAAAGGCAAGGGCTAATCCTGTGTCGCCCATTCTTAGACAAGCTGAGAGGATAGGCTGGGAGGCATCTGCTGATGGATAGAGGATAAGATGATCCTGATCAGTTGATCACCACGGCAGAAAATGCGGCAATTTGACACCTTCATTAGCTTGGCCTCTTGGTGTGGTTTCTTTCTTTAATCTTTTGGCAAATTTCTTGCAGAACTGACATTGAAGTCAAAGACTAGCTCAAATTTATGGGAATTGAGAAGTTGGCCAGCAGCTGCAAATTAGGGAACCAAAGCTTGAACTTCGTTTTGAAGGAAAATATGATTTGAGAAAAAATTAAAATTTAAATGTAGGGAACCAAAGCTTTGGACTTCATCCTGGCCTCTTGGGGTTCAAATAGTATTTCTAAGAAATTTAATTTTTTTATAAAAATTTAATTTTTTTATATTTTAGATAGTTTTGATTGGTTGATATTAAAAATAAATTTATAAAAATTAAAAAAATTATTTTGATTTATTTTGACATAATTTTTTTTTTAAATAACCGCAACCATATTTTCAAATAGATTATTTTAATTTTAATTTATATTTATATATGTTTTGAAAGATATGTTTAGCATGAAAAGCATTAAATTTATTTATTTATTTAATATGTTTTGATGATTTTATTGTTGTGGTGTTAAATATTTTTTAAAAAAATTAAAAAATTTATTTTGATATAATTTGAAGGAATAAACACTTTTCATCTAGAATAGTAAACCTCTGTCTTCAAATGAGAAGAAAATTCAATGGAGCTTAGAAACATGGTCCGTGGACTAGAAAATACTCGGAGATTTCCATAAATTCTTGCAAAATAGCAGGCGCCAGATAAGACAGATTTGACACGTGGTGGACCGAAGTAACTGGGTTCTATACCCCGATTATGTTACCGAACGAGGCATACGGTTTTTTTAAAAATTATATTAAATTAATATAATGTTTTTTTAAAAATTATATTAAATTAATACATTAAAACAATTCAAATATATATTAATAAATTAAAACAATTCAAATATGAAAAATTTATTGTATAAAAATATAATTTCAAAATAAGTGTTTAAATATAATCTTAAAAATAAGTTTTAATTTAATTATGGCGTATATAAATTTTAGCTTATATTAATTTTTTTAATCAAGATTTCAATTCTTTACTACTCCTGGAATTGAACTAACAAAGCTAAACAGCAGTTTGCTATGTATATTATGTGCAAGGACACGTAAAGCATAGTTTAATTGGTTAATAATATGATTAAGTAAAACTTATTTAATTTTATTATATTTTTAATGTTTCAAGTAATTTAATTAAAAATGACTCCTGATTAGTCTGATAATTTAGTTGTTTAATTAAACTCTAAATAGTATTTAGAAACTTTAATTATTTTTTTTATTCCTTGTCTAAGAAATGAAAATATATAATTTAGTTGTTTAATTAAACTCTAAATGGTATTTATAAACTTTAATTAATTTTTTATTCCTTGTTTAAGAAATGAAAAAAATATATATAAAAGAAGAAGAAGAAGCCTCCTTCTTGATTTGATTTGGCAAACCATATTTATTTTCTCTCAACTTTCTTGGTTTCGGTGTTAAGAAATGGAAAATACGAGGAACCTCCTTGGTTTGACAAACCATTTAACGTTTGAGGAATGCTTAAGCTATTTCTTTCCCTTTCCCCCCAGTAAAGTCATCCCACCCACCAGTTCACATATCCTTTTTATTTAGGTTGGAGTGATTGAGAGTATAATTATAATTATTTTTTAAAAATTATTTTTATATTAATATATTTAAATAATTTACAAAAAACTAAAATATATTAATTTAAAGAGAAAAAATTTCAAATATTTTTAAAATGTAAAAATAAACAGAACTCATAATATCATAATATAATTTTTTAAATTATTTTTTATTTAAAAATATATTAAAATAATATTTTTTTATTTTTTTAAATTTATTTTTAATATTAGTATATGAAAACAGCTAAAATTATAAAAAATAATTTAAAACTAAAAATATTTTAAAAAACATAATTAAACACCAATTTTAATATTGTATGTACAATTCAATATATGTAATCATCTTTCTCTGTTTTAGTAGTTTTGTAATGGTTGTTTTTTAAATAATTTTTTATATTAAAATTCATGTTAATAATATTTTTTAACATCAACACTTCAAAACAATCTAAAATATATAAACCATATTAAATTTTAATAAAAATAAAAAAATAATTTTTTAAATTTTTTTTAAAAATACATATTCAACCTCGTTCCAAACAGATAAACAGATAATTAACCTCCTCTATGCAGCTTCACTGTTCTTCTTTTCTTTTATTTTTTTTATTCAGTTGATCTCTATTTCTTTTATAACTTTATTATTTTTTCTCAATTCTTGTATTTTTTTAACAATTATTTAGGTTATTTTAAACCAATCAAGATATTCATATTATATCAAAATAATTTTAATATAATATAAATTTAAATTTAGATTAAGTAATAAATGAAGTTAGGAGTATTTTTTTGTTAATTTAATCTTTAGATAATTTTTGTTATTTTTAAATTTATCAAATTAATAATATTATATTTTTAAAATTGTTATATAATTTAATTTTAAATTCGAAACTGACAGAGAATTCAATGAGAAGTTTCTTCATTGATTTAATACATATATTTTTAATTTTATTATTAAATTTTATATCAATGCGTTTAAGTTATTTTTTAACCAGAATTACCTCTCATGATAACATCAGCGTAATATTGGAGTTACGTAATAAGTTAGGTGATGACGTTTATAAAGGTGACATCCTAAGCGGGTTTAGATTTTAAATTGAATAGTCACATCACTAAGCTTATAAAAATAAATGGAACCCATCAAATCACTTTAAATAAAACACTTGTAAGTTATTATATCAAAAACGAAAAAAGAAGAAGAAAAACCTTTCTAATTCAGACATGCAATTATAACTTATTTGATTGAATAATTGTGGTTATTTTTTAAAATATTTTTTTATTTTAAAATATTTTAATATAATAATATTTTTATTTTTTTAAAATTATTTTTAATGTTAACACATTAAAATATCTGAAAATATTCAAAAAAATTAATTTAATATGTTAAAAAATTTATTTATTTATAAATATTTTTAAAATACAAACAAAGTTTTAATGTTATTTGAAAAAATTAAAACTTGTTAATCCTAGATTTTTAAGCATGTTGAGATTATGATGTAAAAAAAAATAGAGTTTCTTATTAAATGCGATGTTTTAAATTACTTACGCAATCTATCAAAGAGTAAGGAGAGTAATTACTGAGCTACTCTTCTTGATTTTTTTTTTAAATAATGGGAAAACGAGAAAATCAAATTGATGGCACAGTGAAAACAATAAAAAAAATCTATATATATATATATATCCAAAAAAAATAATAAAATATTATTAATTACTCGTTAAATTCCGTAAAAAAAAATCCCAACTCATGATTCTTTAACTAATTAATAATTTTGGGGTAGTATTTCTCAAGATTTACTACCTAGAAAACTTGATCAACAATATATCCCACCAAGATATGCAATTACAAAATTTAAAATCCATAACCCGCAAATAATATATATATAT